ATGAAGAAGTGTTCATGAAACAACCCGAAGGATTCAAATCTGAAGGTCAAGAGCACCTAGTCTGTAAGCTAAAGAAATCCATATACGGGTTGAAGCAGGCATCACGTCAATGGTACCTAAAGTTGCATCAAGTCTTGAAGTCAGAAGGTTTCATAAAGAATCAAGTGGATCAATGCACCTACCTCAAGATGAGTGGGAGCAACTTTACTATACTTGTCCTTTACGTAGATGACATTCTATTGGAAAGTAATAGTTTAGACATGTTGCATGAGTCCAAGCGCTTACTCTCGCATAATTTTGACATGAAAGATCTCGGAGAGGCTTCTTATTTTATTGGCATCGAAATACACCGAGATAGAGTCAATGGTATTTTGGGATTATCTCAAAAGGCTTACATTGAGCGTGTCCTTACACGTTATAACATGCAACATTGCTCTCCTTCTGTGGCTCCAGTAGTTAAGGGAGATCTTTTTGGTTTATTTCAATGTCCGAAAACAGAGGTTGAAAAAGAACAGATGAGAATGATACCTTATGCGTCAGTAGTAGGAAGCCTTATGTATGCACAAGTCTGTACTTGTCCAGATATCGCTTACATTGCTGGAATGTTAGGTCGTTATCAGACCAATCCTGGTCTTGATCACTGGAAAGCAGCTAAGAAAGTTCTTCGATATCTACAAGGGACAAAAGACTATAAACTGATTTACAGAAGGAGTGATAATTTAGAAGTGGTTGGTTATTCTGATTCTGATTTTGCTAAGTGCAAAGATGACAAGAAATCTACTTCAGGGTATATCTTTATGTTAGCTGGCGGACCTATCTCGTGGAAGAGTCATAAGCAAGAGTTGACTGCAACTTCTACAATGATGGCAGAATACATTGCGCTGTACAACGCAACCTGTCATGGGATGTTGCTCAGAAACCTCATCACTGGACTCAAAGTAGTTAATTCCATCTCTCGACCATTGAAGCTTTATTGTGATAACTCAGCCGCCGTTAGTTTCTCGAACAGTAACAGTTCGACTGGCGCTGCTTTATATCTTGATACAAAGTACTTGTTCGTACGTGAGCGAGTTGAGGAAAATAAACTTTGTATTGAGCATATAAGTACTAAGAATATGCTTGCGGATCC